AAAAACTAATTTAAAGGAGATGCTCATCGAACACCCTGAACAACCAGCCCCATACATGCACACTTGATTGCATATAGTGCACCTTGCCACGGTGTCTTCATTCTTCACTACATGTGGATATACTTTAGTATATTCTGCTGTAAAATTAGTCCCATATTTTCGTTTTTTACTTGAGGATTCAACCTCTTCTGTTTCACAGGATGCACAACTGCAGTAGTTCTAATCCGCACATGTTGCATGAATTATTGTATTGCCTGCACATTAAAAAAAACACCACCTCTCATAGTCTAAAATTTGGGATAGTTTATCCGACTCATAGGCATCCGTGAACAACTATCTATATAAGAGAGACTCCTGGGACTTCTGGGAGGCTTGGGATGTCTGTTAACCAGGAAGCTTTGTAAATTCAAAATGTCACAATTAGGGTTGAGTTCCAGGATTTCTAGAGTAACCCCATCAAAGCTTTTGGCTTAGAAAAAATGTAAACTGAACTGGAAAGAACAGACCCGCCTCTTTGGAACGGGGTCCCTGAGGTCTGTGTTAGCCTGCAATACCCACTACTGGTCTAGGCCTCTGAGACGGGGCAGTCGATAGAGGCATTGTTGGCCTGGATGACCATGCCAGATATCAAAAATAATATACTCATGTAAAGTAAACATACTCAAAAAAAGTACTTAAGTACAGTAATCCGATAAATTAACTTTAATACTTTCCACCACAGGTGAATGCAGCGCTGCAGTAACAGCAAACTGCAGATAGTTTGATAAAGTCTCACCTGATGACTCTGGGTTGTGGTTGCAGGCGTACCTGCTGACAGCAGTGCTAAAGCACAGTGGACCTTGGATGAAGTTGGGCTGGCAGTCCTCGCAGAGCTGCAGGCCGGGACCGAACATGTCAAAGCTGAGTTTCATAGAAGCGGGACAGACCTGGAAGGGCAATACTTCTGCAGGTTACAGCTTCAAGTTAAAGCCCTGCAGAAAAGAGGCCTGGCAAGCTCTCTCCAAGCCAGAGCATCTTACCAGGTGAAGGAATGACGGATACTTTTTCTCTCTGATTATTTTCGCTGGAATCCTTTACAGCGTTCTCTGCCTCGGGATTTAGATCCATTCTAATATATAACTAGTTCATTTCTTTGTTTTTGCTTTTTTTCCTCTTCAGTTAGAATTAAATGGACTTAACACAAGCTTGGTTCTTCATGTGGAAGATGAGAAAGCTGCAGATATCCATCTCATAGTGGGGTCAGAAAACGAAACAGCTGCTATGGCTGTGATGCTTTGGCAAGACATCAAGCTACTCCCAGGCTTCATACCAAACTCCTTACAGGTACATTTTACATCGTAACTGTTAAAACCTTCATCACATCTCTTGTTTGGACAAATGTTGAACTACTGATAGATAGAACTACTAAAAACACTTTAAAATGTTGGTAGACTGATGCAGCATATCAAAGATTAAAGAGACCAGTGTGTCTATGTACTTTAAAGTTTCAGATCTTTTTTAGAGTGACAGCAAGAGCCCAAGGTGGAATCTGGCATGCCAGTTTTGAATGAATGACATATGCCAGTTGGGAACCAACATTTGAACGTTGGAAACCGACAGTTAGCTTTGGGTCATCATTTGGAAAGGCAGTGTTAGGGTTAGATGATAATAACCTAGAACCTATTGTTCTAGAAATAACCAACACAAAGTTTCAAGTTACTTTTCTGCAGAAGGGGAGACGGATGGAGAATTTTCACTCCCTGAAATGTCTGTGGTCAGCTCTGTTGGGACCTCTCTGTCCCCTGCCTTTATTATCAGACTATATTCCCGGCCAATGCACCAACTGCTGAGGCTCATAATGGTTGAATTCAGGAAACGATTTACTCAACTTTGTCCTCCAGAGGGGGGAAAACATTTATTGATAAATCGAATTCCAAACAGCTGTGTAAAACACTTCCTAAAGTCAGCGCTACATCTCGCAGACATCTTAGCTTTTCCCCCCCGAATATGACGCACCCATCTCAGTGTATTTCTACCCTTCCTCAAGCATGTGTGTGAATGTGTGCTAAATATATGTGTGTCTGTTTTGGCTCTGATTCTTAAACAGGAAAGGGATTTTTCCTGTTTTTTCCAAGATCTCTTGGCTTAAAATCCTACGTGCAGGTCACCAGTTAGGATCTTGATTTTGCCAAGATTCGTAGGTGACCTCTGTGTGCTAGGGTTCAAACACCCTGTCCACTGTATTTTCTGTGTTGCTAACTAAGTATAAGACCTTTTTAAATATTTATATAATTTAATTGCTTCTGCAAGAGGAGTAACAGGAGAAGTCAGAAGTTTACACATTATAAAGCATGACAGTGGTGCAGTTTTATTGCGGGTGATCGTCACTCACCTGAAACAGCATTTGCTCTCCATGTTTGAAGTTAAAACAGCAGAACATTCCTAGCAGCCCAAATGCATATAAAATACAAATAAAATGATGACATTTACATTTTTCTAAAAGGGATCTAAGCTCCACATCATATTTTTTAAATTACTCTTACCTCAAAATAATCTCAGCTCAGATGTGGAGCTGGAAGTGGAAGCTCTGGAAGAGACACTGGCAGGTTCTTAATAACAATCCATCTGTGTCTGGCCCATTGTCAGGTCTAAGCGCCTAAAACATCATACATACTTACAGGGAAAGAAAGAAGGCACAGAGACATTTAATTTAGTTTTACTCGTGAGGAGAGTAGGAAGAGACTGCAGAGTTTACAATCTCCACCCCACTCTGCAGTCTTCAGCTTTCTCCTCGCTATTTATTGAAGTCAGGGGATGTCCCTAATTACACGAGCTGAGGTTTAACTAAGGGGAAGGGAAACAAAATGATCTTACTTTAAACCTCAGCACATATGTTAAAACAAAGCATGTGGTTGTTTTACAATTGAATTGTTTAGAAGAAACATGTGATAGAGGCTGTTCAGGCCTCTTTCACAACCCGTCTGTTGCATGACCTTTATCTGGAACGATCTTAAGCAAGAGTTAATAAAAGATGAATCACACATTATACATCATAAAAGTTCATTAGTACACAACCCATGAAACACAAACGGAGTATAAATAAAATATTTCTAACACCCATAGACTGGTTAACTTTCTCTCCCAGAGGGGGGGTGCCGTAGGTATGGCTATTAGCAGATGCTCACTGTTGATTTTCACTGAATAACCAAGCAAGTCTTTCATGACAAAACAAAATAAAAATACATGCTTCTCAAAATGTCCCAATCACAGAAGCAGCGCAGTGGACTGCTCCAACTTTTCCCCAACTTGTCTGACCTGCTTCACCAAATTTGAAAGCAGCTCATGATCCTTAGGAAAACTTAAGCTAACAATAAGCTAACTCCATCCTTATGAGCGAAAGCATAGATTTAATCTTCATTTATAAACAACAGTCCTTAACAAAATCACTGTTCCAGCTCTCAGTCAGTCCTCTGAAGGGCAGAAGTATGTTGATAAAAACTATTTTATGTGGGTGCCCTGAAAATGATCACATTAATCATTCATATTATCATGGCGGTCAACAAAAAAGTTCTAGAAAATGTCTATCACGTCATCAGCACGAATGTACATCTTTAACGTTGCTATAAGTCTATAATTTCCTGTCCTTGTCACAAAGCTGTGGACATTGTAGTTCCCTCTTCTCTTGTCGAATTCACACTTGAAAACAAGACTCTAACCATGAATGTTGTTTGGGGGGAGGGACACAGGGGAAATGTCCTCTGCACTTTTTCAAAAGTCCGTTTTGGTCTCCTGCTGTTCAAAAACAATGTTATGGTCCTGTACGCTGACATACGTCCAGCTCTGGGACCAAGCAGAAATCCGCAACGCTGAAGCCCCTTTCTGAGTTTAGACCGCCCACAAGCCCCTTATTGGCCCTCCATCTTTTCTTCTGTGATTGGCTGTCATCGCTGTCACTCCTGAAAGCTCACTTTATGGACCATAGAATTGGGTCTGTGGTTGGATGGTCACAGTGCTGCAGATGTCCGATGTGCTACCATAACTAGAACTGTAGCATCGTAAGTATTTTTCTCTGCCTTCTGGTACATTTTGGATTTTTGAGATAACTTAAATGGTCATTTATATAGCTTAGAAAACAAAGGTCCACCACTGTGTAGTGGGGAGCACAACGACCTCAATGACTCCCCATTGCAAAGGGATGGACCTTTTTTCGGTGCAATTTTCAGCTCGATAGTCAGCGCTCGTCTGGAACACGTCAGATACGTTGATATTTGTTGGAGAGAAGTTCTTGATAAGTTATGCACAAGTTACTCAGAGGTTTAGGATCAGCTAGACGCCATGACTGATGAGGAACTGACACTGAACTTATGTCAACCATCAGATAACTGACCTGGAACTGATTCAGGCTCAGTGGGGAATTTGACTCGTGAAACTTGGAGAAGAGGATTTGGTTGCTGACTCACATTTCCAGAGAAGTTGTTGAATTCTTGACTCCTGTCTGTGTGCCGTGGTTCCAGTGTTTGTTTGATTCGCTGGAGGGCGGAACAGGTTTTACCCGGAATGCGGTCAATAGTTGGTGAACGGAGTAACTGACTGCCACTCAGATTTCCTGCGGTACTTGAACGGGTCGTAGTGGAGAATAATCCCTTTCTCAGTGTGAAGCTCAAACGATCTTTTGGGGAAAGTGGATCCAAACCTCCTGTTTGAACCCCAGCTCAGTTTGAAGCTCAGTTGATCCTTCCAGGGAGAGAAGGTCTGAGAAATCCAGTTTGTAGGATGACTTCCTGCCAAGAGGCAAAGACAAAAACAAAGTTAAACTTAGGTTGACTCAGCAAACTCAGCTTGGCTAGCGTACCCTAAACTGGCAAACACTCTGGCGTCGAAGTAGTGGCAGTCGGAAGCTTAAGAGCGCTTCGTTAACGAGGAAACCATCAGCAGGTGTGTGAGGAGGCGGATCAGAACCAGGCGCCTCCTGGTGGAGGACGGGAGACAAACACAGAAACGCAAACACAAAAACAGGAGTCCTGACAGCGGTTTTGCCAGATTTTTCGTATGTCAGGCATATGCTGGTCTAAATGGTCAAGGTGTGACAGGGGCTTAAAGAACAATGCTGGTGATGAAGGAGGAATGAAAGGTTTTAATCTTGTTTTACCAAAGTCATGATTCATAGAAACCAAATGTTTATCTGGTTTGAAGGAGCAGTAAAACCAGTCCACATTTTAACAACAGGATGCTTTGTTTTCACAGATGAACTGCAGAAGAGTCACCAGCAAAGACCGACACTCAGCTCACTGCTCTGGAAACGTGGAAAACCATCCCTTGCAGGTCCGAGCATCATGCTCTGACAGATCACACAACAGGCTCTGCTATAACCTGTCAATCACGTTAGCCACCTGGGCTCCAGGTTAAATGTTAAAATTAGGATAAAATGTTTTCCCCCTCTGGACATTACCCAGCATCCCTTATGGCTACTCCAGCCTCACAGGGCAGTACGATGACTGCCTGAGGCTCCACAAATAGTAATCCACCTAATTGTTTTCTTCTGCTCCCACAGACTGTAACTGGTCCACAGGCCTCAGCCAACATCTCCATCACCCATATTGGATGTGTCACAAACCTTAGTGCAGTTCTGCAGACTGAAGAGGCACAGAAAGGCGCTTTGTTTCTGTCCCTAACCCTCAGTCCTCACCTTAGTCTACATGCTTCTGTTCTGCACTTTATAAATGCACTGAAGACATTATCGCTTCCTGAAAGTGGAGCCTCAACACTGAATGTCCCTGGTGGATATTTTCCTCGAGCGGATTTTAGCCTTGAGCTCGGTCAGTGTTTCATAAGGGGACATTTGGGCAATGCCACAGCTTCACAGGAAGACACTGTGCAGCCTTCTCTGGCTTTGAACGTTACCAGCTTCTGTCCTCTGCTTCAGGTAAAACCATAGAAAGAAACCATCTCTGAGTTAAAACGTTTCTGTAAACCGGGGAGTGATGGCCTAGTGGTTACAGCGGTGCGCTTGTGCTCTGAGAAGGTTGCCAGTACCCGGTTTGATCCCCACAGCCTGCACTCTGGGTCCCTGAGCAAGACCCTTAACCCCACACTGCTCCTGGTGCGCCACACAATGGCAGCCCACTGCTCCCCAAGGGGAGGGGTTAAATGCAGAGAGTTAATTTCCCCATTGTGGAACAATAAAGGGATTTACATTTTATTTCTATATTACATAAACTGAGCAGCAACTAAGAAAAAGACAAGTTAGAAAGAAAACAAACACATTGGCCGTTTCTCAATGTGTACTTGTGCGTTCTCGTGTCCTCGTGAAACGTCATCACCCTCGGCCTTAGCACTGTTCCAATTCACTACAACAGCAGACTGAGAACATTCAAATTCCCCGGATGTTGTTCTGGCCCCTCCCTCTTTACCCAGCATGCATCAGAGGAGACTTGTCCGTTCTCCAGACTGACAGCTGTCCCAGCATGCACTGCGGCAGCAGCAGCTTAGGTTAGCGCGTTAGGTCAGGTTAGCGCTCACAGAGCTCAGAGCAGTAAGTTACAAGTTCTCTTTAATGATGCTGTTGTTCAATAAAAATACGTTTTAAGAACATTTGAGGAGAGAAT